GGGCTCTTTCAACGATACCACTAGTTTTTAACCTTTGATGGGAAGGGATAGTGAAGCCACTTTTTCAAATAATATCATGAACAGAATCCCAATACATAAAATAGATACAGGTAGAGCTGATATATATGAAGCAGAACTAAGTTTTGCCACACTGGCCTTCTCTGGTGAGATTCCTGAGGCTGCTTCATTGAATCAAATTTGAAAACCACTATATGAGGCTGGGTATGTTTTTCCAACTTATTATTTCTATAGCTTACTTACTAATCATTTACAAGTATAGACCTATAAAAAGACAAATCACTAAAGGCTCACCAAGCACTTGAGAAAAAGTGCTATGAAAATTCTTTGGCCAGTGAGTAACAGTGGGGAAATCCTGAAGATTACACACAATGGAGGCCAGCATTCTGCTCTAAGCCAGCAATATTCAACTGGTGTGCCCCAAGAGCCACGCTGAGTGCTGAAAGAAGTTGTACAACACGCACTAACTATTTAGTCAGAGACACAGACCTCTTTTCCCTTAGATTGTCAAATTAAAGAATGACAACAGTCAACACAACAATAACCATTCAGTGGGAAAGAATCAAAAGTGTATCTATTTTTTGTCAGATCAACAAAAAATATATTTTTTGGTGTGCCACAGGATTTCAGTACTTAGTTTATGTGTGCCATGAGATGAAAAAGATTGAAAATCGCTGCTCAAAGCCTTGCCACAAACATGACATTCCTCAAGGATATTAGATTTCACTGGTTCATATAGCAGTCTCCACATATGTAAAATAGAGATCTTGGTAGATAATAACAGAAAATTTTAAGGCATTAAGATGGGCTATACCAAATATGCCACGTAATTCATTTCAAGCAACAAATGTCTCCATTGCTTATCACTCTCCCTTTTATAGCCAAATAATCCAATCATAAGGAAAATTTAAACAAGCCTCGTGTGAACTATCCCTAAAAGTCATCATAAATTTCTCAAAATAATCCTGTTAAAAACCCAAACAGCAGTTCTTAAATGATGGAGTCACTTATGAAATATCTACTATTTTTTCCAAAGAGATATCATTCACTCATTCCAAATATATTTTATTAAACCAATGGTTAATTTTCAGTTCTCCTAATTTGCCACATATGATCACTCCTTCCTTCTTAACAGATAAAAAAAGTGAAACTCAGCAAACATAATTATTCAAAATCATACAAATAGTACGAATCAGAGAAGAGACTGGAATCTGGCATATTTGCCTTTAAAATCCATGCTCAAAAAAGCCTCATAAATATTCAAAATTGGGGAGTCAAACCCATAGCAAAGCTTAATTAGCGCTTTTCTTGCTCTTTAGGGTCTAACCAGGAGCAGACCAACTTAAACGTACACATGCATTTAAATAAAGACTAAACTGAAGATTCTTGATATTTCCCTGAATCTGTATTTTTTCATGTTGATCGAAGATCTGTAATTCTATCATGAAGTTATACCCATTCATTAAAAACACATTAATAAAATTCCCTTCCAGTGTATAAATGCATAATAACACTTTCAGTGGTATATGGAAACATAATTGAATGACATTTATTTACCAAATTTATTGAATACCTACAATGGGTACATATCTATACCTTATCTATATAATCCTATATGGAGAGCTTGGCATTTTAATAGAACTGAACATTTTATGTTTTCCCAAATGCACAAACATTAGTTCAATAACTAATATAGAAGAGAGTATAAAAGAGTATGGTATTTGAAGTTAGAATCCTACCTCTCAGCCTTTTGTGCCTTTGATATACCTGGATACATAAGAGAAATATTTAACCTCTCTACTACCAGCCTTAATATTCTTGTAAGTAAAATGAGAATTATACTCATTTTATGGTGTCATCATAAGCATTACATAAGATCACAAATATAACTATTTAGAATAGCACTGTCCAAGAGAATGATGATAAAAATGCTCTCTATCTTCAATGTCTAATATGGTAGCCATTAGCCACATACGTTTATTGCGTACTTAAAAAGTGGCTAATGTAACTGAGGAACAAATAGTTTTTTATAGGAACAAAAGTTTACCTCTCACTCAAAATTCAGACCTTCACTTAGGAAGTGAATTTTAAATACTATTTAACTTTAATTATTTTAAATATAAATAACCACATATGACTATTTCTTACCACACTGGACTCAGTAGATCTAAAACAAAGCCAAGCACATAATAAATTATCAATGTTTGTTTATTTCTATTTTCTCTATCAATCAGTAATTCTTTTAAAAATATATTTTTATTGATTTCAGAGAGGGAGAGAGAGATAGAAACATCGATGATGAGAGAGAATCACTGATTGGCTGCCTCCTACAGGCCCCCCACTGGGGACTGAGCCTGCAACCCGGGCATATGCCCTTGACTGGAATCAAACCCTGGACCCTCCAAAGGCTGACGCTCTATCCACAGAGCCAAACTGGCCAGGGCATCAATTTTTTTTTTTTTTTATAGCCTTCTCTTTACTAGCAGATCAGTTCAACTAAAATAGCACAACAAAGAACCTCCCATAAGAGACTAACTTATAGCTATTAAATTGCTTCTTTAGCCAAACAACAGCAGCAGCATAAAAGCAAGTGATTCATTAATTAGATGTATATGCTATACACTATACTAACAGCTTTACATGATTATCCCACTTGATATTTATAATAATTCTATGAAGTAGTACTATTATTTTTTAAGTAGGAAAATTAAACTTAGCACCAGTCCAACGACACACAGTCTGCAAGTCAGTGAGCAAAGATTTAAACTCAGCAATCTAATTCCAGAGACTACACTTAATTACCATGCTAACCTGCTTTCCTCTTAAAAAAACAGTTTACATAAGATTATGTACTCTGTAATAAATAAATGTCCTCCCAACCAAATACCACCACCAAACACACACATGAGTAACTGGAAATCTAACAATTTCAGTTACAGAGACAAAGTTATGCATGCTACAATAAATCTCATGTCCTAACTGGTGTGACTGTAAATGTACCAAATCTAATGACTTTGCACTTATCAGGAAGACTGAAAAACTATCATCGTCTTTCTCCTCAGAAAATTACTAAACCATGAATTCATATTTTAGAACAAATAACCTATTTTGATAAGTGTGGGGAGCAGGGATTGGACCTAGAAACACAAGGCGAAGATAGTCAATATTTACTAGAGCCCTATGTCACTGTCTATACAAAATATTTATTAAGACATCAAACATTTCTGCTAGGAGATTAATTGGATTCATTCCATTTGCATGAAGCACATCGCCACTCTTATCTTAATTCTAAAAGAAGCTTAATTCACTTAATGTGCAGCATTTATGAAAAAATGTTTATTGTGCCCAAAGCTGGAATTCTTATTCCAGTTCTGCCTGACAGGTCAGAGGAATATTTTACATAGAAAGCCACAGCATTCCCTATTTGATTTTATAGGAACTTCTGGGTAGCAAAAAATAGTCTTATCTGACCCATTTTCCTTTCTCATAAAGGAGTGACGAAGAAAAGGTCACTGACTTTTCATCCAGATAAAACAAAGTATATAAAATTATCTCCGCCTCCCAACCCATCATATCTCTGGCTTCTCTTTAAACTTTATGATACTTTGAATCGCACAAATCCTTCAATCAAAGCTAGCATTGAGAAAAAGTTCTATTATTGAGAAGTTCTCAATCCAGTATTATTAAGCACTAGAAAACAAACTGCTTTACAGATATGTAATAAGTTAACTAAAAAAAAAATAACATGTGTACTTGTTTAGATTTCTGTCATAACTCAGCTTAAGAAGTGCAGATAAAGCTAAAATTGTTAATAAAAAATATGAACAGCACCAATTTTTTAGAAACACTACTGAAAAACTAAGGAGCTGATTAAGGCAGAACAGTCAAGTAATTATGGCACCATTAGAATAGCTTTGCCAGCACTGTGTGACCTGGAGTTAGTCCCTTTGCTACTTTGTACCTTTCATTTCATATCAGTGATAGAGAATTAGCCACTATATATCTCAATGGGATATTGAACAGATTAAATTATTAAGCAAAAATGCTTTGGGCAAAAGTCATATGAATGTAAATATTAAGACACAAGCATTCATTTTCCTAGCACTCCTGTAGGGTTAGGAAGCTATCTCGATTTCATAACTGAGTAAATAGGCACAGGGGATAAGGTCACATGGTAAGGCTCCATTCACTTAGTCCCTGTGGGAAGGAAATAATGCACACCTTTAGCAATCATATGAACTTTCCTAGCACATCCTGCACAAACTTTAATACATTCAATCCCTAACTTAATGTTGCATCTTTTAACATGCTAATGATGGAACAAAGATAACTATGAGATAGCAACAAGGCCAGAAAAAGCAAGGAGGAACAATTCTGTGTGCTTTGACCAGAATAGTCATAGAAAGACAGACAACCTCAAGATAAAATTTCCATTATTATTTTTAAGATTTTACTTCTACTAACATGTGGGGATCTTCAACTATAGGAATTAAGCAACATAGTTTGCTATAAAAACACTTTGAAAATTTTAAGCTCGGCCCATCTGGCTCAGTGGATTGGATATTATCCCATACACTAAGAAGTTGCTGGTTCGATTCCTGGTTAGGGCACAAGCCCAGGTTGTGACTGGGTTTTGAGCTCGATCCCCAGTAGGAGGCAGCCAAATGATGTTTCTCTCTCTTTCTCTAAAATCAATAAAACCATATTTTTAAAAAAGAAAAAAATTTTAAAAAGCTATCATAGGACTTCATGTTGGTCGGTGTGCACCATCCAAATTTTCTGGGCTATATTTGCATTCTAGGCTTTAATTAGCAACCACATAGAAAGAGAAAAGAAATCCAAAAAGACTAAATAATGAATAACAATGGGAAGGGCTCAGGAAAGCCAAAAAATGGCAAAAGTACTACTCATATATAATGAAATATAAAAGAAGCACAGAAGGTTTTTCTGCTCTTATCCAGGCTGCCTGCTATATTGCTTACCCGACTCCGAAGACAGTCAGCCAGGTTTCGGCGGGTGAAATTAGCTGCTGCTGTGGGAGACAATTCATAACCTGGTACAAGAGATAAATAGTCATACTTAAAGGAAAGCAGAAGGAATAACAGTACCCCAAATCATTCCACTACTCCTACTCTTACAGTCTGCCACCCTTTGTACACTCAAGAATATATAAAGTACACAGAATAAGGAGCACAATCTTACTCTTGTCCCTTTCCCCGTCTAACAGTTGTGAAATAGCTGATTCATAATTCTTGGATACAAAACAGTACCAAGGTGACATTTAACTATTCTAGCTTGCTTAAGCTATTTATTTATCAACACATGTGGTTTCTTCTGTAGAAGGGAAAAAAAGTACAAATATATAGGTGTTAAAAAAACACACCAAAACACAAGAAAGAGGTCTTGAGATGCCAAATTTTTTGTTGTTAAAAAATATCCTCACTGGGTATTTTTAGAGAGTAGAAGGAGAGAGACACATCAACTGGTTGTCTCCCACACGCTCTCTAACCAAGGCAGGGGATTGAACCTGCAACTGAAGTATGTGCCCTTGACTAGAATCAAACCCAGGACCCTTCAGTCTGGGGGTCAATGCTCTACTCACCGAGCCAAACCAGATAGGCAGCTCAGTGGAGAGTATCTACCCTCGGACTAAAGGGTCCTGGGTTCGATTCCAGCATGTGATTAGATTATTCCCTACAACATTTTAAACAACAGTGTCATATCAGGAAGATTTAGATTAAAATTCTAACAAATATTTACTGAACGGTTATGTTTCAGGGTCTATGCTAGGAGCTTTCACATATATTAATAAATTTCATCCTCACAAATCTATTAGTTCATACTAAATCATAATGGAAGCAACTCTAAACAAGCAGGAATACTTTTCAATTCTCCACCTAATCCCCTAAACACAATTAAGGATTTGACAGTTACCTTAAAGGCAGGAAAGTCTGATATTTGACCACAGCATAACCCTAACCCTAATCTTTATTTTAGCTCAATTCTTAAACTTTAATATGCATAAGAATTACTACCGTTTCCCCGAAAATAAGACAGTGTCTTATATTAATTTTTTCTCCCAAAGTTGCGCTAGGTCTTATTTTCAGGGGATGTCTTATTTTCGGGGAAACACGGTATGTAAGGTGACACATACAAAACTATACTTGACGGATAATTTAAATTCTTGTTTAAAGAATTTAAATTTTAACCACAGGTGATTTTTGTATTACTCAGACTTCATATTCTAAAACCTATGTAACAAACAACTCTCAATTCTTGTTTACTGTTCTTCCCTCTGCCAGGATAGGTAGTTAAGTACTACTGTTGTAACTACTATAGTTCAAAAACATTATTGGCATCCTTCACCTGCCATGTACGCATAAAGTAGAACCACTAAAAAATAATTCTTACAAGATTCTACTTGCTTAAGCCTAAGTACATATGCTTTAGGTTCCTGACTGGTGGGGACTGAGCCTTATTCATCTTTGAACTCTCTGTGGTACTAGGCAGAATGTTTAACAGAGATGAGGCCCTCAAAAATATTTATGAATTGAATACATGATGTTAAATTTGCTGCCTAAAAGACTACATGAATGGATATCTAATCATACAATTATATTGAAATTAAGTCCCTTCACAGCTTCACATTATACCAGTGCTGTGTACAAAGTGTTATTGAACTGTGAAGTAACTGGAAGTAAAATTCTTTCTGCTAAAGTGTCACTATAAATGTTCCTGAATCAAAGGACTAGTGGCTCATATTATTTGACAGGGGGCTTTCCTAGTGGATAAAAGTTCATTAGCCCCTGAGAGAACTCACAAAACATCTCACAAAAAATGTAATTATCTTCCTAGACAAAAACATGCTGAAGTGGCAAGGCAGGAGGACTCTTTTATGACATAGTAAAACTCCTAAAATTACATAGAGCTTTAAGTTTCCAAAGCATTTGCATACATACTACTCATTAATATTACAATTCCATTTTAGAGATAAGGAAAGCAATTAAAATGGTTCTTTTTTCTGAATTTTTATAGAAAATCTTTACAATCTCAAGAAGAGTCTAAAAGTAAGGTTTCATTTTTTTTTTGGTTTAATATATTTTATTGATTTTCTTACAGAGAGGAAGAGAGAGAGATAAAGAGCTAGAAACATCGATGAGAGAGAAACATCAACCAGCTGCCTCTTGCACACCCCCTACTGGGGATGTGCCCGCAACCGAGGTACATGCCCTTGACTGGAATCGAACCTGGGACCTTTTAGTCCGCAGACTGATGCTCTATCGCCGAGCCAAAAAGTAAGGTTTCAAAAATAGGAAGACTCAAATAAACCTATGACCACATTGGTCTGCTCAAGTGTAGAACTGCCAGTAGAGAATATTCAGTTCAAAGTTAAAAACAAATCAACCAAAGCTACTTTCTAAGTGTTACCCACCATTTCGCATCTTATAAAGTTGCACATTTTTCTGAATGTATTCTGCAAACTGTACAGTGTCTCCAGCCTCTCCAACACATAGGAGTAAGATTTTTTCACTCATCTTAAACATCTTGTCATGGTCTGCTCAAAGAGAAACACAGTATTAGAAATTATCTTATCAGAAATTTACTATTATAGAGCAATAAACAAACATTTATCAATTACTACATTGATAATTTGACTAATTACTGGTTTTAGAAGACTTTCATGGGCAACCATATTAATCACTTTCCCTCTCCATGTTACAATCACTAGTATATTTTATTAATTTTCAATTTCAGGTGGTGACTATATATGAAAGCTGACAATTAAAAATATAGTTAAAAACATTTAAAGGCATTTAAAATGCAAAGAACAGAATCAATCAAAGAAACTGAAGGACTCACAAGCCAAGGGCCACTATTTTTAGGCTCATGATTACAAAGCTTTAAAATGTCTCTACAAATACAAATGTTAGTTATTATATTTACACACATACAAAAGCATATATGAAAAGAACTGGCACTACAATTAAAATTAAGGAGCCACCTCAAGAAAAAAAAAAAAAAATCACCTTAAAAAGTAAACCACCTCCTTTTCCAAAGCAAAAAGAAAATTAAAATGATTGCAAAAGCAAAAATCCTAACAAATATTACAACACTAAGTTATTTTAAAACACCTCAAAAATCCCAATACTCCAATCTTATCTAGGTGAACCAGACTCATTCAGATTAGACAGATAAATATTCAGATAGCAATTAGTGCCTAAGGAAGAAAACTCCATATTCAGTCAAGCTTCAGAAAGCTTAAATCTCCCTATCTTAACTCTCACTTTCACTTTCCATTTTTCAAATAGTGCTGAATAATCTTCCCTGGGAGACATGTTTCCTGTTTGAAAGCTTCTAAAATGTCAAAATCCCTTAATAGGATTTAAAGAACAAAATGCTACAAATACAGTACTTTTCTGCAAGTGTCTGAGTTGTAGATACCAGTAATATGGCTTAAACCTTGCAAACACACACACACACACACACTCTCTCTCTCTCTCTCTCTCTCTCACACCCAGTGCTTATAACAATATAAAATTGCTTTGAAACTCCTAAACAAACCCATTTTTCTTTTGTTACTCTACAGATATAAAAACTGTTAGTTTGCAAACTTTTTAAAAAGGATTTTTTTTTTTTAACCTATAGCTGTATTATCTATGCAAAGAAAAAAGACCAGAAAGGTATTAGATGCCACTGGCATCTAAGTTCTTGCTAGTAGCAAAAGTATGGTCAATTTTTATTTCCTTATCAGTATTTCTTAAACTGTGTATAATTTTTGTAAGAAAATATCTATAATAATAAAAGCATAATATGCAAATTGACCAAACAACCAAACAGGAGGACGACTGTCCTGACAATCTTCAGGACGACCACGCTATGACACGCACTGGCACCAGGCCAGCCAAGGTGGGTGTGATGCAATTGGTTGGGGGCCCCGCCATCGACCTGCAGAGGGAGGTGCAGGCCACCCTCTGTGGACAATTGATGAGGGGTAGGGGGGCCTTCGTGATTGATCATTCCAAAGAGGGAGGCCCAGGCCACTGGCCAGTGACACTCTGGCAGGTGTGCAGGGCCAGCCAACAATTGCCCTGCAGAGGGAAGCCCAGGCCAGCCAAGCAATTGCACCCCATGCCTGTTGGCTGTAGAGATGGCAAGCAGTGGCAATGGCAGGAGTAGGGCCAGCTGCTGGCAGCTGGGAGAAGGAAAGTCCTGATAGGCCCTGATTGCCAGCCAGGCCTAGGGACCCTACCCGAGGGGTTTTGGATTGCAAGAGGGCATAGGCTGAGCTGAGGGGCATACTCCCCATGCACAAACTTTGTGCACCTGGCCTCTAGTTACTTAATAAGTTTGTACTATTTTTATAGTGAGAATAAAAGCTGTTCTTATTTTTTTGGGGGGGGAAACTTGTTTATAAAGCATTTATGAAGAAACTAGAGACCCGATGCACGAAATTTGTGCAAGGGACTCAGCCCTCAAAGCCCAACTTTGTCCCAAACGTCATTTGCTGTCTGATCTAATTAGCATATTATGCTTTTATTATTATAGACTAGAGGCCTGGTACACGAAATTCATGCACTGGGGGTGGGGGTCCCTCAGCCCAGCCTGCACCTTTTCCAATCTGAGACCCCTCAGGGGATGTCTGACTCACAATCCGGGACTGCTGGCTCCTAACTGCTCACCTGCCTGCCTTCCTGATTGCCTCTAATCGTTTTTGCCTGCCAACCTGATCACCCCTAACTGCTCCCCTGCAGGCCTGATTGATGCCTAACTGCTCCCCTGCCAGCCCAATCACCCCCAAATGCCCTCCCCTGCTGGCCTGGTCACCCCCACACACACACCCCCACCCCCACCCCCCGTGGAGGCAGCACGGAACTGTGGCTGCAGGCACACAGAGCAGCCAGCCCTACCCCGCTGTGCACACCACTATCTTGTGATGGCATTATGGTGTGAGGGTTAATTTGCATATTACCTCTTTATTATATAGGATGCTAAAATTCTAGGCTAAAATGCTACAGCTGTTCAATTCTAAAATGAACTTAATAATGTTTTAATGAACTTAAAAATGTTTTTAAGCACCTATTGCCTGCCCAGTGAGTAGTAAAGGGAGATATTAGACCATATTAATAAGCAAGTACTCTCTGGGAAAACTGGAAGTATCATTCTCATTTTATTCTTAGTAGAAAAAGAATTCCAAAATATTATTCATTTGCAGCATTCTTGCCTACCCTACACAAATTTCTTCATGAGCCCTGGCCGGTTTGCTCAGTGGTTAGAGTGTATTAGCCCAAGGACCGAAGGGTCTCGGTTTCAATTCCCAGTCAAGGGCCTGTACCTTGGTTGCAGGTTCCCTGGCCCCAGCAGGGATGCATGCAAGAGGCAACCAATCAATGTGAGACACATTGATGTTTCTCTCTCCCCTTCTCCCTCTTCCCCTGCCACCCTCCCTTCTACTCTATAATCAATGGAAAAAAATATCCCCAGGTGAGGATTAAAAAGCAAAGAATTACTTCATGAAATAAAAACAGGGAAAAGTCCACAAAAACAATGTACACAAAAAGTCCCCTCAAAATATTGATTTTAGAGGGGAAAGGGAGAAAGAGAGAGAGAATTATCAATGTGAGAGAAACATCAATCAGATGGAACCTATAGCCCGGCTATGTCCCCAGACTATGAGATCCTTTATGTATGGGACAATGCTCCAACCAACTGAGCCACACTGGCCAGGGCTATCACAAAAAAAAAAAAAAAAAAAATTATCAGAAAAGACTATATGGAAAATTAGACAGTGAGTTTGACTGCAATTAATTCTAAATATTTTTAAAGAATTAACTCAAATTCACTTTTCTTCCACACTACAGTGATCTTTTCTTTGAATACCTATAGAACTTATTCGCAAAATCATCAATTTAAAAACTAATCTAATGGATGGTGGGCATACAGATCTTGTAACATAGAAACCCACACCTAAAACCTATATGTTCATGTTGACAAATGTTATCCCAATAAATTTAATAAATAAAATTTTAAAAGGAGAAAAAAAAAAACAACCTAACCTAATACTTACTAGTGATATCTTTTATCATACAAAATCATCTTGTATTTATTTCCTTGTTTTCTTTTTTTTTTAATATGTTTTCGTCGATTTTAGCGAGAGAGAGAGAGAGAGAGAGAGAGAGAGAGAGAGAGAGAGAGAGAGAGAGAGAGAGAGATGGAGGGAGGGGCCGGGGGAAGAAGGGGCCGGGGGAAAGAGAGAGAAACATCAATGATGAGAATCATTGATTGGCTGCCTCCTGCACATCCCCTACTAGGGGATCAAGCCTACAATCTAGGCATGTGCCCGGAATGGGAACAAACAGAACCCTGGGATCTCTGGGTGCAGGAGACAATGCACACTTACTCTCAAAACAAATATACTACTCCCTTGGGAAGGATGGTTTACAAATAGAACTTCTATAAACTAGTTATACAATTTTATGTAGTAATTTGACTTGAGGAACAATCCATAAAATAGATGTTTTACAAACCACTTTCAGATCTCTCTTCTTCAGAAAGACCAAAAATCAAGCAGTGTCCCTCATGCTTCTTTCCAATCAAATGCCTGTCACTTACAAAAGCAGTGATGGACACTTTTTATCCTTTGTTCACATACATACTTTAGGAAACCACAGATTTAATAATTTTCATTCTTTAAACCCAAGATGAACTATTATCTGCCCTCAAAGCTTTCCCTAATCTCTAGAAACAGAAAGATCTCTTCTTACTCTGGATTACCTAAAAACAATCTCTTCTATCTCTGCTCTACCTCAGAAGTTTGACTGCACTTTTCTTATGCAGCATACAATTCTAGCTTGTGCTTTATTTAAACACATATCTGAGTCCCTTGTTAGTCTGTAATGTAATAGTGTTTATCTTAAAAGGTTACATGAAATTAATGGAAATCACTTAAAACAGCACCTGATACATAAGTGCTTAGTGTTATTACTACGGAGTATTTGTTATTGTGCTGAGCATTTGCACAAAACTTTTCATGCAACCCCCCCCCCCCAAACAAGCTTGTGATTTAACATATTTTTATGAGTTTTTTTCTGCCAAACTGACCACAATTGCCAGGAAGCAAGACCTCAAATACTCCCTGATTTAACAGGTGAGGAAATCGGGGCACTGCGAAATAACTTATGCAGTCATAAAGTAAATAGGTGACAGGGCTCTAGTCTCCGAACTCCACCAACTACTTCAATATAAGAAAAACGCGACAGCTAGTGTCCTGGAAAACTGGAAAAGGAGGATCTGAGCTGAGACACAAGGAGGATACAGGCAGCAGAAGAGAAATGCCAAGTTTCCAGTCCCACAGTCTCACGCTGCCCATGATCCCACCCCATGCTGCCAGCAAACTAACCAAGCTCATTAGCAGCGACATCAGTAATTTCTGGATCTAGGGAGCAGGGTACTCGGCAGGTGCTAAAAACTTAAAAACGGAATTCCCTTAGGCAACTCTCGCCTAGAACGCTTTCAGCGAAGGCCAGAGCAGAGCACTGACCAAGGAGGCCTGAGAGGAGCGAATGTTACGGTCCGACGCCTGTCTGCTAGCCTCCTAATTCTAAACAGTGAGCAAGTGGTGATCCAGGCAGGGTTCCGGCTCCCAGACCTCAACACCCCGCGAACTTCCTCCCGGATGCCCCCGCACCCAGGCCGGGCCGGGCCTCCCCTGCCTCCGCTCACCGTCCTTCATCTGGACAATACTGCTAGCGGCCACCCGGTCGGAGGCGACAAGGACGTAGTCGGGGCCCTGGATGCCGATGAGGTACTCCATGCTGGCGGGAGGCCGGGGGCTGGAGGCGGAGGCTCCACAGGACGCGGGACTCGCCGGCTTCTCGGCCTCACCGGTGAGACAGCACCGCGGACCGCAGTTTCACTTTACGAAGGCCGCGCGACGGCCCCCGGCTACCGGCGCTCGCGGATGACGTCACACTCTCGCGAGCGTTGGGAAGTGGGCGTGGCGTCAGGCTAGTCAACCCCGTGCTCGGTCCCGACCTTTGGCAGGGAGTGCTTTGCGGGGCCGGCTGTACCGGCGTTGGCGTTATGTACGGCCAATTCCTTTAATGATAAATTGAGTTTTAACATTCGCTTGGAGATTAGGTCACACACTAGATGTAAAGTGCCGAGCACATGTGGATGCCAAAAAGTCGTGTGTTCCTAGATGACAGTGGCTTGGTAAAATGTCTCCCCCAAGTCCCTTCCCTACAAATCAGATTGGAGAAAAATAAACTTGACCAGTAGCCCTATTTACGACTTTCACAGAAGTAAAATATGGTCGAGTTAAATATATAAGAATAAAGACCAAAATCATAAAAGCCATGGAGGAAGAAAGAATAATTTGATAATCTTTGGAAGTGACATGTGTTTATAAGCATGACAGGGGACCCAGAAACAGGAAAAGGTTGGCAATATGGTTACAGAGTGTCTCTCTGATAAAAGTCATCGTAATGTTAAAACATAAATATGAACTCAGAGTGTGTTTCAACATATGAAATAGTTAATACCTGTAACTTAGAAGGCATTCTTACAAATCAATGGGGGAAAGAGAGCACAATGTTTAAGTGGAAATTCACAAAAGAAGCAACACAAATAACCAAAAAATATGAAAAGATCTACAACCTCATTGGTAATTAGTAACATGAGACATAAAAAAACACTGAGAAATTGTACATTGATTGTAAGAAAATAAGTCGTCATGAACCTTTTTTTTTTAAAAAAAAAAACACACTTTATTGAGTCATGATCTTTTTACAGAGATCAAGTGGATATTCTTTAAAAGGTAAATCTAGCTGAAACTGGTTTGGCTCAGTGGATAGAGTGTTGGTCTGTGGACTGAAAGGTCCCAGGCTCGATTCTGATTAAGGGCATGTACCTTGGTTGTGGGCACATCTCCAGTGAGGGGTGTGTAGATCACACAGTACGGGGTGTGCAGGAGGCAGTGGATCGATGTAGGGTCGATGTTTATTTCTCATTGATGTTTCTAATTCTCTATCCCTCTCTCTCTCTCTTACTCTCTGTAAAAAATCAATAGAATATATTTATAAATAAATAAATAAATAAATAATAAAAGGTAAATGTACATAACTTTTATATGTGTCCTACACAAATATATGTGCAAATACCCAAATATTTGTATGCAGAGATATTCATTGCGGCAGAGCAACAGCAAAGAGGGTGAGCACCAACTGAAATGTCCATAAGTGAAGAAAATGTAACATACATTTTGTACACTCATGCAATGGAATATTATGGAGCCCTTAAAAATAATAAAATCAATCTAAATAAAATTTATTAAGTGATAAATATAGATATATTAAGTGAAAATGCAAATGCATTCCTACGTGTAGCAAGATGCCAATTAAAAAAAAACAAAAAAAAGCCCTAGCCTGTTTGGCTCAGTGGATAGAGCATCAGCCTGCAGACCAAAGAGTCCCGGGTTCCATTCTGGTCAAGAGCATGTACCTTGGTTGCAGGTTCCTCCCCTGCCTAGGCTCTGGTCAGCATGTACAGGAGGCAACCAATCAATGTGTTTCACTCACATCGATATTTCTCTCTGTCTTTCACTCTCTCTAAAAATCATTGAGAAAATATCCTCAGGTGAGGATTAACAAAACAAAACAAAAATCCCCACACATATACATATGAATACGTATGGGAGATGTATATTTACAGATGTTCCAACCTCAAATGATATGCAGTTTTTACTTCTAGTAAGAGTGATTAGAAGAGAGGGCTTTCACTTTTTATTTTATATACATCTGTATTATTCATCTGTTTTACAATGTTCAGTATTTTTTTAAAATAAGAAAACACACAGCCATTCCTTTACATCTTGCAACCAAAAAAAGCTGAAATATTCCATGATTAGTTTCTGACATCCACAATTCCGTTTTCATACTGGCCATACTAGTTTCCTGAGAAATGGAAACACAATTTCAATTATATATCAAATGCAACTATGCAGTTCATTTGCTTCTGTAGAATTTGTAGCTCTTACTCTATTCTGAATGTTTCTTCCAGCTCTCTGCCCATGAAGGAACAGAGACCCTGAGGAGTTTGGGGCAGCCCATCTATCACAGGATGGAAGCCAGGGGCAAGGAGGTCATTAAGTCAACCATCCCACTATGAACACAAATGCATCCATCATCTTCGAAATCCTTTTCTTAAACACCACTGGAAAAGAAGTCTCTCAAGTTGTGTCTCTCTCTCTCTCTCTCTCTCTCTCTCTCTCTCTCTCTCTCTCTCTCTCTCTCTCTTCCTCTTCTCCCTCCCTCCTTCTTCCGCTGTCATTCTGTGTTTGTAGGTTTTTTTTTTATTGCAAAATGTACATAGTTATACTACACACACACACAAATATTACAGAAGTGAAGAGTTAAATATCTCTCCTTTTGCCAAAACCAGTGGAGAGAGCGTCAGCCTGCTGATTGAAGGGTCGCAGGTTCAATTGGATTCTGGCTAAGGGCACGTACCTTGGTTGCAGGCACATCCTCAGTGGGGGGCGTGCAGGAGGCAGCTGATCGATGTTTCTCTCTCATCGATTTTTCTAATTCTCTATCTCTCTCCTTTCCTCTCTGTAAAAAAAATCAATTGAAAATATATTTTAAGCCGAAACTGGTTTGGCTCAGTGGATAGAGCATCAGCCTGTGGACTGAAAGGTCCCAGGTTCGATTCCGGTCAGGGGCACGTACCTTGGTTGTGGGCACATCGCCAGTGGGGGGGTGTGCAGGAGGCGGCTGGTTGATGTTTCTCTCTCATCGACGTTTCTAACTCTCTATCCCTCTCAATTCCTCTCTGTGTAAAATCAATAAAATATATATTTTTTAAAAATGATCCTCTCTTTCATCATTGATATTTCAGTCTTTCTTTCCCTTTCCCTTCCTCTTTCTGAAATCAATAAAAGTGTGTGTGTGTGTGTGTGTGTGTGTGTGTGTGTGTGTGTGTGTGTGTGTGTGTTTTAAAGAAGAATGACTGTAGTGTATCTAGAGATCATGGTCATGATATGGAAGGCTACCAACTTTGTCGAGACTCCCAAACTCAAGCTTGACATAGAAGCATCAGCGCAGATCACACTCACAAGAATCTGTGAGCTTAAAAAACAGGGTTGGTGAGGACCAGCGCTTCCCTCAGCTGCGACTCTCCCGCAAGGTCCGGCAGAAAACGGACGTGTTTGCCCCCTACTACATGGCCGGGGTATCTCCCTTTGTAGAGAACGACATCTCCAGCCGCTCAGCTACCCTGCAGGTCCGAGACAACACTTTGGGGGCCAGGAGGAGATGGTTGAACCCCAATGCTTCCAGAAAGAAGTTTGTGAAGAAAAGGTGAAGTGCAAGTTCCACAGGCAGACTGGACAGCTGCTGCAGCTGCCACGTTCTGGGATCTCATTCCCACCTTCCATCTGGATGGAAAGAGCAGGTCCGGCTCCTGCCTGCTTCCCGTGACTCCTGTGGAGGGTGGGCTGGATCTGGGTTGGACTGAGCCATGCCTGGTCCCTAGAGCACCCAGAGCTGGGGTTCTTGTCATGTGGAGGGGGTTTGCTGAAAACAGAACTGTGGTCTGGAAGGAATCTTCAACCTCGAAAGAAGGAAACTTTCAAGTGATAATATTTTTCTAATAAATGTGGTTGTAAACTAAAAATAAAAAATAAAAAAATAAAAAAAACAGGGTTGGGACACTGTTAGACTAGAGATCAGAGGCCATCCCTAAATATTCAGGGATGTTAATATGGTTGATGCCTTGCTCATGGATGGTATCCCTCAGCTGCTATAAATGTTGGTCAATGACTCACAATTGTTTATTTCACAAAAGAATAAACCACAAGGGAGGCATCTCCTCAACCACATGGGAGGCACCCTTGCCCGGGAGGCTATATACCTACACCCAATCCCAGCCAATGACTGGTTGACACAGAATAAAAAGTCAATTTCCTTAACTTAAAATGGTTTAGTTTGTCCTCTAGAATTTTCCCAGGGGTCAATCTAAAGCAATCTCCAGCCAAGACCACATTCTTTCTTAGCTCCCCCGCCTCTCCGAACATCAATGATGAGAATCATTGCTTCTGAGAGAACCCCTTGCTTCTGTTATTCCCTTTCTCCTAAGAACACTCCTCTAGTAAATGACTTGAGTAAACATTCTCATTTTGGTTCTGCCTCTAGGAAATTCAACCTCAAATAATTGGTAGCAAAAATGATCCTAGGAATTTTTCGAACACAGTAAAAACAATTCTAAGAAGGAAGTTCATAGCTATATAGACCTACCTCAAGAAACAAGAAAAATCCAAAATAAACAATCTAACTCTAAACCTAAAGGAACTGAAAAAAGAAGAAACAAAACCCAAAGTAAACAGAGGAGGGAAATAACTAAGATCTGAGTGTAAATAAACAAAATAGAAGTTAAAATACAATAGAAAATATCAATAAAACTAAGAGCTAGTTCTGAGAAAAGATAAACAAAGTTGACAAAACTTTAGCCAAACTCATCAAGAAAAAGAGAGCCCACGTAAATAAAAGTATAAGTGAGAGAAGTTGCAAGTGACACCATAGAAATAAAAAAAATCATTAAAGAATACTATGAACAATTATATGTCAACAAATTTAAGAAGAAATGGATAAATCTCTAGATGCATATTATAGTCCAAAGCTGAACCAGGAAGAAATAGATGATCTAAACAGACTGATTACTAGCAATGAAACTGAAACAATAATAATTTTTTAAAACCTTCCAACCATACAAGATTAGACAGTTTCACAGTTGAATTCTATCAAACATTTTAAAAAT